CCACCTTTATTATGTAAAGTCTCTGTTGCACTTCTCATCTGCCCCTCTGATTTAGTTCTCCAGCACTTGTTAACCATGGAAAAAGTATGTCAAAGGATTTTGCTGAGTAAGGGTCCCTGAGCTGCATGTTGCTGACATCAGGATCCTGAAGGAACAAAAGGGACTCTCGACTGTATCGAAGAATAGTCGAGAGTCCAGATGTCCAACACTGACAGATAAACATCAGGGTGAGGAAAATTAAAAACTAAAATGAGCCATAGTGACTCAACATCGACAGTCGTGAAACAAATGATTAACAAACATACACACTGCTGCTGCTGTATGTCTCCATTGTCCAGTGCCACGTAGTAACCCTCGGCTTGGCTCTAAACATTTAGAGTGAGCACTGAAGAGTCAGAGGACACAGCCAAAGTTTGGTACCATGAGCACAGCTTTTTGCAACCAACCTGCACCAACTGTGCACTTGTTTTGACATCTTCTTCTGGTTTTCCAAATAAATGAAGACTTATCCTGGCAACTATCAAGAATTAATTACTTATAATATTAAAATGTATTAAAGACATTGCACCACTCATGTTCTCATTCTGTGTAAACTGCCCTTTAATGCAGCAGTCACAATGACTATGTTACTAAAATATTATCAGGATATCTTCCAACGGTTCTGACACATCGTTCAACTGCACAGACTTTTTCCACCATTAAAGGAGGACAATTATCTGTCATAGTATAATACAATGACATAATATCATACAGTGGGTAAAGTAAGTATTGAAGTATTGAACACATAACCAATTAGTAAATACATTTCTAAAGGTGTTATTGGCATCAATTTCTCACCAGATGTTGGTAACAACCGATCCAATCTATACATGCAAAGAAATCAAACCATGTCCCAAAGTTAATTTATGTGTAATACTGAGAAATGACACACGGGGAAATGTATTGAGCACATGAAGAAAAGAAGGCACAAAAAGGATGAAAAGTCATTAAACCAGGTGGAATCTGTCAATAATTAGAAAGTAATCCTGCCACTTATTGCAAATTAAGATTAGCTGTCAGTGATGGCCTATAAAAATGTGTCTCATTACAAAGGTGTCAGAAAAGAAAAATTTCACGATGCTCACAAATTTCAGAAGCTCTTTCAAGACATTTGCAAGTTTATTAATAACATTTTAACCCCAAAGGGACCCGACATGACTCCGTGGGTGTTTTTGCCTTTTTTTATTTCGGCACAATCAGTTTTTACTGTAGCACAACGGTGCTCTCCTCTCTCTGGCCTGGCTGCTACTGAAATAGAGAAGGCTGTGACAAACCAGCCCCCTGATACCACACCCTGAACCTGCTGCTCCCTCCTCCACCAACCACACCCCACCACAAACATATTTATGGCATTGGTTACAGAAGAATTTCTAAAGTACCATTTCTAAGGTACTACTGAAGGTACCAGTGAGTACTACTGGGGCCATAATCCTGAAGTGTGAAGAACATTTCATCAAAAACTGGACACAGAGTTTTGGACAGAGGAGTAAAAAGAATTATCAGAAAACTTGTCCAAGAGCCAAGTACCACTTGTGGAGAGCTATGGAAAGACCTGGAATCAGCTGGTACAATTGTTTCAGAGAAAACAATAAGCAGCCATGGCCTTTATGCATGCCAAACACGCAACACTTCATTGCTGGAAAAATCTCTGGCTTCATCCAAGCCTCCATCTTCATCTCCAGTCCGCACCTGGGTCCATATGTCTCGATATACGGTCTGCCTACACAGACTGTGACAGACAGGACTTATACTAACTCATAATAAAATGGATAATCAAACACACGGTGAATGAAAAGGGGTGAGAGAGGGAGAAATGCTCAGTGCATCATGGGAAGTCTATTGCAGCATAACTGAGGGTCACCAGATCCAGCCCTAACTATATGCTTTATCAAAATGTTTTAAGCCTAATCTTAAAAGTAGAGAGGTTGTCTGTCTCCAGACTTCAAGCTGGTAGCTGCTTCCACAGAAGAACAGCCTGTTGGAGCAGCAGGAATGGAGTCTAACAGACACACTGATGGTTTGGAGGAAGTAATTACTGAAGTTATCTCAAAAAGATCAATTGGAGAAAACGTCTCTAGATGAATATCAATGGTACTGAAAGTATTGGACATAATGGTCATGTCATGGTCCCCGTGTCTCTCCGGCTGGCTCACGTTGGGCTACGGTGTTGTTTTTGTGTTTCTCCGTCCCTCTCGCTCTCTCCCTCTCTTTCCCTCATTGTCCTCAGTCTGCCTGGACGGAGCTAATTACTGGGCTCCTGCTTTTGGCCTACGCACCTGCGTTGATGGTCCGCACCTGCCACTGATTAGTTCCTGTTTTCCCAGGCCAGCTATTTAAGGTTGTGTCTCAGAGCAGCTCATCGCTGGAACGTTGAACGCCCGGTGTTCATAAAGCCCCAGCTAGTCTACAAGTTGTCTTTGTAATTGCTTGCTTCTGTGTAGGTTCCCTGGACCTGTTCCTGTTTCCTGCCCTGGATCCCCGTGTGGCTGTATGACTAGAGTGTGAGAGCAGAAAGGCGTGAGTGGCAGAAGAGGAGTGAGTGCAGACTGAGGAGAGTGTCACGGAGGACAGAGTGGACGAGCTATCACTGAAGATTCGTGTGTTTGGATTTCCTTCCCCCCCTGGAGCCCTGGACCCCCGCCTGTCACTTGTAAAATTATTATTCAAGAGACAGGCAAATTTATTATAATGTTGCAAGATTATAATAAATTTGTGAAGTAATTCATGAAGTCATTACTTCCTGTCATCAAGGTTAAAGTTCTTCTTCCATACGAGACTCACTCATCCATGTCTTTATAGGCCTTGCTTTGTGTTTTGGTGTGCAGTCATGTTGGAACAGGATGGGGTCATTACTAAACTGCTCCCACAAAATTGGTTAACAATTCCTTTCACTAGAACTAAGAGGCCGAGTCCAAGTACTTAGAAACGGTGCTTGCTGTCAGACAAGTTCTCCGGTCAACTGCCAAACCCAGACTCGTCCACTGGACAGAGAAGCATGATTCATCACTCCAGAGAACACGTCTCCACTGCTCTAGAGTCCAGTGGTGGCGTACTTTACACAGCTGCACTCAATGCTTTGCAGTGTGCCTGGTGACGTAAGGCTTAGATGCAACTGCTTGGTCATGAAAACCCATCCACGAAGCTCTGCACACCAGGGGTCGACAACTTTCTGTTGATGAGTGCCATGTAAAATTTCCTCAGAAGTCAATGTGCCATATCAACCACTGCATTAACAATAAATGTGATAATGCTCAACAGTTTCACACTATAATGAACAACTTAACAGCAAAGGAACTGTACAACAGAAAATGCAAATGCTATTTAAGGTCTCATCACAACAATGTTAAGAAAAAATAAACTGGGGCAATGTGACCTGTTTGTTAATACAGAGACACATGTTAATGTGATCCTGGTCTCCCACTCAGAGACACAGGTCTCCCACTCAGAGACACAGGTCTCCCACTCAGAGACACAGAGCTCCCACTCAGAGACACAGAGCTCCCACTCAGAGACACAGGGCTCCCACTCAGAGACACAGGTCTCCCAGTGTCCAGCATTCAGAGGCTGCCTGAGGACTCATGTGAGAGAAAACCTGCTCACACAGACATGTAGAGCCAAATACTGTCAATAAGGCCTCTGCAATGTTCTGAAGACAGTTAAGCCTGTCAGGTAGTGACGTCCAGCAGGTGCAGCTCCATGAACATGCACAGCTGTGGATTCCAGCTGTGTTGGTAGTTCATTCGGATGTATCCGTGTATCTCCGTGGTGCTGATGCTGCGCTGAGCCGACAGCTCCTGAAGCTTTTGAAGAGTCGGGATGTGGAAATTTCAACATCGCTTGAAAAAACTGCCAGCCAGCAACGTCCCTCTCACTGGTAGGCTAAGTGATTTTTAGCCAGTTACAAGTTGAATCTGGGAGTTGGGGTTGTTGGCTAAGAGACCGTCATTATGCGAGCTAATTTGCGATGTGCACTGGTGGCTTGGCCTTAGATACTTGCTTTTTAATGCACCCTCTCAAATTAATTCACTGCGTGTTGTGCCATCAGTTAACCCTTCACGTGCCAGTTGTGTCATGAGTGCCCAGGGTTGCCGACCCCTACTCTACGCACTGTTCTTGAGATAATCTGAATCTGACTCTGCAGAAAACTGCCAACCTCTATGCACTATGCACCTGAGCATCCGCTCTCTGATTTTACATGGCCTACAACTTCTTCCCAACTTGCTGTTCTTCTCAATGCCTTCAACTTTGTTATAATGGGGGTGGCTGTAGCTCAGGTAGTAGAGCAAGTCACCTACTAACTGGAAGGTGTCAGGATTTGTGTGCGGATGCGAAGAAGTGACCCAAACGCAGGACTCGTGGATAGTGATGAACAGAAGATGGTTTATTATAAAGAGTGGATGAACAGAAGATGAACGAACACTGACTGGCTGGATAACTGAGAGCACACACGGGAACGATGACATCAATGACACGAGGTGAACAGAAGGAAACTGAAGACTTAAATACTCTGAGTGATGACGATGACGATTGGAGACCGGTGAGTACACAGCTGAAAAAAGCGCTTGTGCGAATGGGTGTGAATGGGTGAATGAGGCGCTTTGAGTGCTCAGAGTAGAAAAGCGCTTTATAAGAACCAGTCCCTTTACCATAATACCACTAAAAGTCAACTGTGGAATATTTAGTAGTGAGGAAATTTCATGACCAAGCACAGGTGGCATCCCATAATGGTACCATGCTGGAATTCACCGAGCTCCTGAGGGCAACACTTTCTTTCACAAACGTTTATAAAAGCAGTTTGAGAGTAGGCTCTGATTGGAACAACTGAATTCAATGATTTGGATAAGTCAGTGAATACTGTTGGCAATGTTAGCTATGTACAAAGCTGTTCAGTCTTTTCACTTAAATTCTCTATGGAAATACGTATTTAAATAAAAGCAGTTGTATACATTTTAGACACAGACCTCAGATGTTATTTGGTTGTTGGAATTGTCCTTTGGTTCTCTGGGGGGAATAAAAGCTGTGGAGGAATCATTGGAGCTCTCTTTTTCTTCCTAGATAGATCAGACAGATAAACATAGTAGCCATGAAGTTTTCAACTGCTCACATGTTGTAGCCATAAGCACTCACTTCAAAGAATTAGTAGATGGTACCTGTGTGAGTCTTGGCTGTGCCAGAGGCTGAGGCTCAGCAGCTTTTGATTCATCCACTTTTCCATTCTTCACAGCATCCAGTGCAGTGGTGGTGGAGTCCAAACTGAGTTTTGGAGTTGAGTGGGGACTGGCATGAGGACTGGTCTCATTGTTGTTGTTCTGCTTCAACAGGTGACTATTCATTAGGCAGGGAGTTCTAGGAAAATGACACGTACAGTAACTGTTGTATTAAACAGAAATTTAAGAATGAATTGGTTCAAAATCTATATAAATGTGATAAACATGTCTGGCTGGATACATAGATAAGTTTGACATAAATGTCTACCACTTTGTCTACATTATAAAATCCAGAATGCTTCATTATAGATTTATTTATTGTTAATACCCTCGGTTTATTTTCCATGTTCTAGATACCATCAAATTTTAGTTAAGAGCAGCTATATATATAAAAAATCCAACGATACTAGCAACCTGCAAAATTTACTTTAAAAAAACTTTCTCCATCGTGTGGCTTGCATTTTTGTTGCTCGTCTTAAAGTAATTTGCAAGATATGCGAATGAAATAATTGGATTCCTTTGATGTCTTACTTCATTCCCTTCTTTTCTTTCTTCTCCGGTTTGTGTTTGGAGACCCTGCTCCTTGAGGCCAGGGAGATATGGATGTATAGCACTGTCATGATGATGACAGGGAGATAAAATGCTGCTATTGCTGTTCCAAATGTCACAGCAGGATTAGAAAGGAACTGCAGGAAGGAAAGAAAGGAAAAATGTTACATAAAGCAAGTATGGTCAATATTTTTACTACATTTACAGATACAATATACATCATGTACCAGAACTTTGATTATTGTTGTATTTGTAAACTCACAGAATTAGTTATAGCATTTCTCCATTAAAGTTAATCACAGGTAAACATTTAAGAGCTGAGGGAAAAACCACGTTAGTGTAACAATAAGAATCCTAGCTGAGGTTGACTGGGGTAGACTGAAAACAGATAACACTGTTTATAAACTCCAGACCAACATCATTATACGTTATGGAAGCTACCTCTGCCAGCTGGGGGTATTTTTACTCCCTCTTGACTACTTCCAGGTATCTGAGCTTTTATTACTGATTCCCGATTACTGAAAGGGAACTTCATGAGCAGGCCTTTTGTGGTTTGCATTATTAATGACAAATAGATGAAAATCTGTGAGGCCTCACATTTTAAACTAACAATTAGTAAGGATTTTATTCAGAATAATGAAAGACCATTCAATAATAACCTTTACAAAACCTTGCAGTCATTCATTACACATGAAGTTACTGATGGTTACAGCTTCCAAAGACAAGTAGGAATCTGACTTTAAGGAACTGAATTTATCTTTCCAGGATCTTACTGGTTTCTCTAATTGCTGTAGTCAAAGGAGCTTGCAAAGAAAAGCGTCTGGATTTCTTTAAGTTGCTTGAAGACGTTTCACCTCTCATCCGAGAAGCTTCTTCAGTTCTAAGGTCAAATGGTGGAGAGTCCCAGATATAAACCTAGTGGGAGTTTCCCCCCACAGAGGGACAAAAGGACCCCTGATGATCCTCTAATCGCCTGAGCCAAGGTGTGAAACTGGGTGTGGGTCCCAATCAGCCAGAGTTTCAGGTGAGCTCATTGTGAAACCTGGCCCCACCTTATCATGTGATGTCCTGAGGTCAGATGGCCCAGGATGTGAGTGGGCGTTAAGGCGTCTGGGGAGGATCTCAAAACTGGATTATAGATGGCAGAGACACCAACTCTCTGCTTTTCTTTGCAAGCTCCTTTGACTACAATGACCTGGATGACTGAGAACCTTCACAGACATTCTGAACAAATGCAAATTCCAAGATACATTCAAACAACATGTATACAACACTGGTCAAAAGGTTTAGAACCCCCCAGTGTTTCCAGTTATTTATTGCATTTCGAGTCACTTGAGTCCAGTGAATAGCTTGAAATGGTATAAAGATAACTGAAGTGCAAGAGGTTTTAAAAAAAAGGTAAGGTTACACAGAATTAGACAAAAAGGCCTTTTTAGGGAACTCAAAATGTATTTATCGAGTCTTGAAAGCTGGTGCTACTAATTCCAATTTTTCTGGATTGAGCAGCAGGATTTTTGTATTGTTTAGACATTTTTTTAAACAATACGATCAGGCTTTCAAACCAAAGAACTCATTACCAGCTGTTATACTCTACACATCTGTATTTTAGTGGGTTGTTAGCCACTTTCAGTTTGTTCAGTGAGATAATGTTATTGTTCTAGTTTATCAGTTTGCATCTTAACCTTTTTATTACCAAAAACTAGAAAAGCTATCAAGACTGCCAAAATCACTGACATCTCTGGCAGTCACAGCTGAATCAAGAGTAGGCTAACAGCACACAGTGGACAGCAGGACACTTCTACTACTAATAACAAAATTAAGTTAATTATAATGATTCAATGGAGCCTTTCTGTTCGAGTAAACTTAAACTTACTCGAACAGAAAGAGTGAAAAACAAAGTCGATTTCTCAGTAACTTTGTAGACTCTGTGTTTGTTTACATTGCACTTCCTCATTCCCTGCTGTATCTGATCAATAGGATTTTATACACAACACTGTACATAGATTTTGTTGTACCTGAATATAACACTCTCCAGGTGGCACCGTTCTCTGTCCAACGATGAACTGCCAGAACAAGATGGCAGGAGCCCATAAGATGAATGACAGGATCCAAGCCGCTGCAATCATTAATCCTGCCATCTTAGTTGTCCTTCTTGTGGGATACGTAAGGGGTTTGGTCACACAGAAATATCGATCGAAGCTGATAATTAACAGATTCATCACAGAGGCGTTTGACACAACATAATCTAAAGCTAGCCACAAGTCACAGACCACCGGCCCAAGTGGCCAGTAGCCAACAATAATGTAGACTGTATACAAATTCATACTGAAAACACCGATGATCAAGTCAGCGCATGCTAATGAAAACAGGAAATAGTTATTGACAGTTTGTAGGTGACGGTTCACTTTGATGGAGAGCATGACTAAAATATTTCCTGTAACAGTCACAAAGCTCAACGATCCTGTAACCATAGCAATAAAAAACATCTCCAAAGCTTTGTATGGACTTCCTGTTCCCACTCCACTCTCAACAGCAGAACAAGATGTTGAATCATTGGTGGATATGTTGCAGGATGTGTTGGAGAACAGGTCAGTCGTTTGGTTGAGCAATGAGCCTAAAAGAAGAGAAAAACAAGAGGATCGATTGAGAGAAATACGCACTGTGCTGCTGTAAGGTAACAACAACAAAAGTTGATTTTTTTAAATGTGGGAGACGGATTTAAACACCCACAGCAGCAGCTGGGTTTGTGACAGATCAAAATAGAGAAAGAAGGCTTTGCTTTCTAAACAGGGACAGTAAGAACATTTAGATGCAAAGAGGAAAAAGTAACAAGGTGTTGACATCAGGGTAGACAGCTACATATAAAAACATTTAGAGCTGTTTGAATTTAAAGAACTTAGTTGTAAACTTATTAGCTTCTCAATCTCATTATCCAGTATGTTCTGTCACACACACACACACACACACACACACACACACACACACACACACACACACACACACACACACACACACACACACACACACTCACACACATCTGTATCTTGTGTATTTTAATGTTGACGACCCTTTGTGTTTTTGTTCTTATTGCATCGCTTTTATTTTTGCAGCCTTTGTTTTTTCTTTCCCCTGCTGGTCACCGTTGTCATTGCTGTGTTTCACATGTTTTGAGTAATTACTTGGACCGTTTCTCCCATTCTTCTTTACAAGCTCCATCAGGTTGGATGGGGAGTGTTGGTGAACAACCCTTTTCTAATCTCTCCAGAGATAATACATTGAGTTCACATCTGCGCTCTGGCTGGGCCACTGTATGTCCTTTGTTATCTTGGCTGTGTGATTAGGGTCGTTGTCCTGTTGGAACACGAACCTTCTCCCCAGTTCATGGTCCAGAATGCTCTTGAGTAGGTTATTATCAAGGATGTCTCTGTTCATCTTTCCCTCAACCCTGGCTAGTCATTCGCCACGTCATTGTAGGGATGGGCACCACTGTCAATAAGCACCTATGACTGCACACCAGCCCACCCAACCAGCTTCATTGTCAAATATGCCTAACATCTCATCTCGCTCATGTCTGCACTTCCTCTGTGTCCTAAGCAAGAATAACCTGGACCAGAGGCTGCTGTCCTTCTATCGCTCCTCAGTGGAGAGCATGCTCTCCTACTGCCAGGGTGCTTGGTATGCATGGGTGACTACTGAGACAGGAAAGCTCCACAGAGGGTAATTAACACTGCCCAAAAAATCATTGTCTGCCCTCGGGTCAATCAGACTCACAAACAGCTTCTTTCCCTGGGCCATTCGGACTGTTAACAAACACTAACCTGCCACACCCCCCCCGCCTCCCCAATCTGACCCATGATCTGAGTAACCGCCGTTACTCGGGCCACACACACTGACTCTATTCAGACCAAGTCTTTTTTTCTTTGCACTACTTTCACACACTTTGCAACCTGTTCTCTAATGTGTGTCCGTTCATCATGTGCCTTTCTTTTATTTTTGTATACATTCCTCTTGTTTTGTATATATTTCTCTTGGCTGTTATTTATTCCTGTCTACTATTTATATTTTATTCCAGCACAGTTGGTGTGGAGCAACCTCAATGTCATTGAACATGTATAATGACAATAAAGGGCTATTCTATTCTATTCTATTTTATTCTATTCTATTCTATTCTATTCTATTTTGCTAAGTGGCATTTTATACCTGAAATTAGTTAAAGGTTTTCAGAATGACTTTTTTGTCTACTCTTTAGACATTAAACATTGTGTCCCACAGAAAGAAAGCAACACTGAAAGTTCTGCCCAGCTTTGTCCAGGAAGATAAAACACACAGTTATTCATGAAGGGTTTGATCCATCCAGCCACAATTCTTTAAAAGAAAAATCATTTATATGGGTTTGGGTTGCAGGGACAGCAGCAGTCTTAGGAGCTTATCTGGGTGAACATCGAGATGTTCCCAAGCCCCCCCAGAGATATCATCTCTTCCCTAGTCTGCCCCTGGACCTCCTTCCATTTGGACACCTAGGAGGTGCATTATCCAGAGGTATCCGAGTCAGATCATGGAACCACCTCAACCGCCTCCTTTCAATGTGGAGGAACAGCAGTTCTACTCCAAGTCCTTCTCATATGACCGAACTCCTCAACCTATCTCTAAGAAAGTGCCCAGCCACTCATATCATGCCTGCGACCCGATTCTACCCAGAGCTCATGAAGTAAGGGTAGGAATGTAGACTGACCAGTAAATCGACAGCTTCACTTTTATGCTCAGCTCTCTCTTCTGCAAGTTCCCACCTCATGAAGCCAACAGAACCACATCATCTGTAAAAAGCAAAGATGAAATCCTGGGAGACCCTCCACCACTTGGCTACCACAACAGATTGGCACAGCATATGCATCAGTGCAAGTGCCACCCCAATCCACCTGTCAATCTGTGTCTCCCTTGTGAACAAGACTCTTGAACACCTCCACTTAGGGCAGTACTTATACCTGACCCGGAGTGGGCACGCCACCCTTTACCGGCTGAGAGCCACCATTTTGCTACGCCCAGCAATTCTGTCCTTAAAAATTATGAACTAAATTGGTGACAAAGGGCGGCCATAGTGGGTTCAAAACCACCGGAAACGATGGGTGCTGACTTAATGCCGACAATACCAACCAAGTTTCTGCTACCGTTGTGCAGGAACTGAATGGCCCGTATCAAAATACTTGACAACCTATACTCCCGAAGCACCACCCACAGGAATCCCCCAGGGACCCGGTTCTTCTCCACAAAACTACAAAAAACTGTTTGAGCAACCCCCACCCACCCTGAGCCAATCCCTCAACATGTTTGTACTCACTGCTGATATTGACGTCATATTAAATAATGTTTTGCTTTTTAAAGTAGTTTGAGAACAATTTGAGAGCCACTGCACCAATCCTGATTCTGAATGCACTGATGAGGTGGTCAGCTGTATCAGACGCTGCAGTCAGGTCTAAAAAGAGTACTAACAACAACACTACTACACTGCACTTATTAAAATGTCATTCATACCTCTCAGTAGAGCAGTTTCTGTACAGTGCTTCCCCCCTACAGTCAGAATGAAATTATAAAGTAAGTTGTTGCCTTTCGTGTTAATAGACTTTTTTTGTATATAGCACTTTTCTACTCAAGCATCTCACTTTTACACAAGTACCCAGTTTTCCTTCTGTGCCTAAGTGCTTTCTATCTAACATTCACACTGGATGCAACTTAGGTTTCAGTATCTTGCTCAAGGATAATTTGGCATGACCAAGACACGCTGACTACACTGGATTAAGCATTTATGCAAAATTACGAACACTATAATAGTTTTATTTGATTTTGGCGAGAAATCAAGTCAAGCTGATCTAGAAAGTCTTACAAATCAGATAATCTCAGTACGACTTCAAATTTCCCAGTGTGAATCCTATTGGCAAATCTCATATAGGGTATGCGATTTAAGCTGTTTCAGCCTGCATACAGATGCTGCTCCCTCAGTAGGCTGTTTTTGCCAACCAACCTCCTTTCATGCTAATCATGCTGTTTCTGACTTAATTTTTTTCTGCTATCATGGATGCAGACTGTGTTCTGTGAGGGAGTCTGCTATCCTATCCCCGCATTAAGCTTTCCATGTATGCCTGCAGAAAGGGAGGGGGAAGGTCTCTGAGGCAAGCTGACAAAGGGAACACACAGCTCAGACGCTACAGTCAAATAATGTGTGTGGACAGAGCAGATTGTTGTTTGGTGAGTTCATGTTCAATTTGGCATTGTTGTTTAAAAGAAATAATATATTAACATGTGTATTAGTTGTATGTTAGTAATCTAGCTAACAAATTAACAGTACAGAGTGAAGCTAGATGACTAGAAATCTAAGAAGCCAACATGTGTGTGAGTTCTGAGGGACCACTTCAGCTCTGCGCTCCTCACAGGGAGAACATTGACAGCATGATCTCATCACAGACTACATTTCACTTCTGTGTGGACAACACTGCGCCCTCTTGAAGGTATGGTGTTTCTCCAATAACAAGCCCTGGATAAGCCCTGAAATAAATGCACTCCACAAGGAAAATAAGAGAGCTTTTAGATCAGGAAATAAGGAGGAGGAACTGAGAAGGAAGAAAACACCTACAGGAAGACGACGGAGGACCAACTGCTGCAGAATAACATCAGTGGGATTTGGAAGAGGCAGGAAATAATTTTAGGTCACAAAGCAGCCAAACGCAGTATGTGAGAACACAGGGCTGTGTCTCTGACGGGCTGGTCTGCTGTACTGGGGCCCTGCAGGAACGGTGCTGGGACCCTCTACACTGCAGACTTCTCCATCAGGCTGCTATCTACAAACGTTTTCCGATGACCCTGTCATAGTTGGCTTCATCACAGGTGAGGACGATCAGAGTACTGATGGTAGATTCAGGACTTTGTGAACTGGTGCCAGCTGAACCATCTCCTGATCATCACGGGGAACCCACCACATTGAGATAGTAGACTCTTAGAAGTACCCGGGTGTTCACCTGAGCAATAAAGTGACTGGAGTCACAACATGGATGCTCGTTACAAGAAGGGTCAGAGCAGACTCTACCTGCTGATGAGACATCTTTTGGAGAGTTGGGATGTGCTCCTAAAGACCTTTTTTGACTCTGTGGTGGCGTCAGCCATCGTTTATGGCATTGTCTGTTATATTTGAAGAAGAAAAATAATATCTCTCTTGGACAATGTCTCCCATGGGATTCATGAAGCTGCAGCAGACCTGCAGAGCTCCTCCAGTGACAGACTGCTGAACTAGATGCACAAAGAGGCATGATCATATAGCAGCTGTTAGACTTTATAACCATCACTGCTTCCAACACACACAAAAGGTTGTTTACATCCCACATTGTAAATATATGATCCTATTTATTTTGATATTTGTACATATAGTGCCGCAGAGCTGTGCACCTTTCTCCTCTTTTTTACACGTCTGCTCCTAATCTTATTGTACATGTGTATAGTGACAATAAAAGGCATTCTATTCTATTCAATTCTATTCTATCCCTGCTCTTATTTGCAGTTTTTCAATTTTCTTTAAATAGTCTGTCTTTGTTGTTTTTAAGCACAAATATACAACACTTTTTGTACATC